AGAGTCCACTGAACAAAGCGTGGTGCTGTGTGTGTCCTGGCCGGACCTTTGAACTGGAAAAGACCCAAAGCAGTACAGGAACAACATGCCTGAGGACGCCAATCTTCTTAGCACGTCCAACTTCTGACACAATAGTTAGACATGGTGATTTCTGCTCTATAATCTTTTGAAGGAAGCAGCTGCACAGGAAAACATTTTTCAGCCAATTAGAGACCTTGGGTGAGAACTATGTGCAATCAACCGCCTGACTATTCTCCGACAGTCCCTTCTCTAAAGGCTGAAGTAGTAGTAGTTCTCCATCCACGAATCCACGCACACGCAGTGGATACGTTGAGATCTGTGCTCTGTGAAGTAATTCACCACCACAACACTAGGGATTTAAAAGTAATGCTGTTTTACAAAATTAAACGGGAGAGTGGAACTGGAAATGTCTGTAGAGAGGACCAACCACAGCCCTTATTGTCTGTCCCTTATTTTTGGGGGTACACTTCGGTTGATGCAGACGCTCTGCGGAGAGGGTTCACGTAACGCAGATGATCATAAATTGGGCTTTACTGTGATGCATTGTAACCCTAAGTGGGCGGGGCTGACAGTTCATTCTGGAACATGTTCTTCTCTCATAAATTCTTCACTCAAACTTGGGCACTGGCTCTTTTAATAGTGCACTGTGTTCTGATGGGGAGTTTGCCACCTGCTTGTCGCCCTGGAGACATTATAGTTTTGGCTGGAATGCTCTAACTCTGCACAGCAGGATAGATTCTTGTTATATTTGTGAGTTCACTCACTCACAAGAATTCATCATGGTATGCACTCGCTGTAAGGTTAATTGGGTTGGTGACCAATCACGTCGCAGCATTGAGGTTTTTGCAGAGGCCAAAGGTGAAGTGCCTAAAGGAACAAAACAGACATAGTGACGCAGACTTCAGCCTGTTTTTGCAGAAATATGGAAATGTTTTGTTTGTGAAAAACATGCAGAAGTTAAGATTTTTCGTCTGGTTCTGCTGTTGTGACATTTTGACCAATCAGATTCAAACAATCGTCATGACGATCTGTGTTTTCTGATCTCAGTGAGAGACGTCTCAGACTAATAATGTGGAGAACTCAGTTCAGAGGGACACATATTAATCTGGTCTGAGCAGGTTATTAGGAATGCTCCAGAGGAGGGCATTAAACTCAATAAGCAGTTTTGCTATTACATCTGTTGTGCTGATTAGTTGAAAATGTTGGGTAAAATGCTGCATTGTAATTATTATGTAATTACTGTTACTTATTTCAATTAAATCAAGGATCAAGGTTCTTTATTTGCCATTCTAACATGTGAAAAAAATGACAGAATGAAATGTTTTCCTCAAGGCCCAGTGATGCAACAGGTCGCAAGTGAAAGTTGTATTTTCAGAATGTCCTCTGTTTTAAAGTTGTTTTATACTGTATATCCTGTTCTCTTAGTTTTAAAAATGTACTACAACTACTCACAGCTTAACCTGTGTCCCCAGAGCCTTCACCTGCACACAGACACGTCCTGCATTTGTCTCATTCTCAGTTTATGTTCAGGCCTCATGTGAAGCTCAGAACCTCCAGAATTCCCTCCCTGAGCTGCAGAGGCTGCACTAGCACTGACTCATAACAGGTGCAGGTGCAGGTGCTGGGTTAGGGAGTGAAGAGTCTCTTGTTGGGACACCCATATTATTGTTAGAATCTTGTCTTTGTTGTGGCATCAGTGGTGTGTGTGTGTTTTGTGTTGAAGCAGGTTTAAAGCTGTTTGTTTACTCTGGATCAGTGACTGAGCTCTGGGCTTCTCCCCTCACACCGGCCACACTCCCAGCCCCAGGAGGACACTTCACACTCCACTGGACCTGCTGCTTTTGTGGAACAGGACAAATCCACGTGTAGACAGTAGTAGACAGGGCCAGACAGCGACTGGTAGAACTATTCTTTTGGGAGAACTGGCCTCACTAAAGAGCTCATTGTTGTTGAGAAGAGACGCTGTGGGACAGTGTGGTTAGAGCCAGAAGGGAGCGGGTTAGACCAGTGGTGGGACAGTGCACAGATATGACTTGTATTCCACTGTAGTATTTCCATATTTTTGTGGAGATATGGTCTGTCCACATTTGTTGTGGTGAAAATTCATTGTCCCTGTTTTTACATGCATTCAAATAACCCGCCCACTACACTTATCTTCTTATTGATCAAATATTAGGCTCAGAAACACAAGTACATTACATTACTGTGGCTCGGCCATCAAACCCAATACTAGGTTTACCGTGGAATGAAGTGTCCTGCTTAGCGACACAACTGTAATATTCACAGATTCCATTTGATGAGCCTTTTTGGACACTCAGATGATGTTTTGGTTGCATTATTCCTTTATTCACACAAGCTCTGTTGTGGACAGTTGTAAGGTACTGTGAAGTTGAAGGGTGTACTCCAAATATCCAAAGAGCATACATAGTTGTGGACATGTTGGCAGTACGTGTTGGCAGTACGTGTACTGACACAAGATAAATCATTATAACCTGTAGAGTTATACACTCAAATACTTCTAATACTGCATGAACACTTAATCTGGAGAGCTACAAACTTGTTCAACTTGTTGTAGTAGTGGTAGTGGTAGTGGTAGTGGTAGTAGTAGTAGTGGTAGTAGTTCAGATCCAGTCACTGACAAGTTGGTGGTGCAATTCCAGCTCCCACAGATGAATGCT